AGAGCTAAGAGTTAGTCCTCCTGGTTAGTCTGCAGCAGTTCTTCTTGAGTTAAAGAGATGCATGGAACTATGCATTTCTGGGAGTCTCAGGTAAATCAAGCCTGAAGATAAAATCACATTCTGATGCTATAGGGAGGTCAGAGAGAAAGAAGAACAAGAAACCAAAACTCTAATATAAATCAACTGCAGCCCACCAAGTTTTGCCTAAATTAAGGAATAACTACTCACACACTATTGACTGCCAAAACATTAGAAAAGAAGTCAGCATAGAAACAAGAGACAAAGAAACTAAGGCAAAAGCTGAAAGGAGGTACGGGGCAAGCAGGTGTAAGAGGAGAAACACTCAAGTAAACATGAGTAGGCTTCAGAGATAGGATTTGTAGATGAAATCCTTTGACAGTATTTTAACACATTTCTGATATTCTAAACCTCAAAGCCTATGGAAAGCAAACAAGATCACTAAAGCTGTTGTTGCTGACACCAACAGCTCCACCATGACACTTGAGTGTCTCAAGGTGTATATATGTTCATATAGAACTACACTTCTTTTCTCATCTATGTCTAAGAAGAAAAGTGATTCCGTTACAGAAAAATTACTAAGGCATCAGTTCAAAATAATCAGTGAGGGAGGTAGGGTTTATACATATATCTAAATAATGAAGCACATGAAAAACTCACAATTCCTCCCTTTCTCTCTCCTCTCCTCATCTCACCTTGCCTCATCTCTCTTCTCTTCTACTCTCCTCTCCTCCCCTCCCCTCCCCTCTCCTCTCCTCTCTTCTTTTCTCTTGTCTTTTCTCTTTGCTTCTCTTCTCCTCTCCTCTTCTCTCTCCTTTCTCTCTTTTTAGGGAGAAAATAGCCACAACAGAGTTGCTAGCCTATCAGAGGAGGGACAAATTGATAAATGAAAGGGAAAGTTGATATTCATTAATATGTATTCAGTACATTTACTCACACTGTACTCATATTTAATTAGTATGAGTTTATTGCATTCATTCATACTGGCTTGAGACAAGTAGAATAAGCAGGGCTAGGACAGAGTCACAATCAGACAAGGTAAAAGACAGCAGGCCAATTTTCCACACTTTCATCTCCCCAAACACTCAAGACCAATGAGAATACCATACCTTTTTTCAGAATGATGTGCTTCACAGGTTACTGCAGTCTCATGCAACCAGAACTATAGGAACAGGTGATTTCCTCCAGAAATTCTCCAGCAAGAAGCCCCATTTTCTTTATTACAGTTCCAGGTTAACCTGGAGTTAAATCCACCAAGATGACTGCCAACTCTGTTGCTGTTTTGCATTTTAAAAATATGGTCTAACCTTGATTATTAAATATCTTTAAATGCATTCTTGTCAGACGAATCAGGTCCAGCAATGACCTCAACTCAACCAAAGACCTTGCTTTGTGCACTCTGACATATTTATGAGAGCAGCTAGGGAGGAATTGATGGTGTGGTCCTCTTACAGGACTTGAAAAGCAGGGTTCATAAGATTGGAAATAAGTGATGATAAATGTCTCAGAGATATCATGGGGAAAATGCAGCATTAAAAAATGAGAAGTTAAGAAAGGTAGGCAGGAAAAGAACGGATTGGAAAATCATTGCTGCTTCTTCGAAGGAATCCCTTGGCAAGGAGAAGGCTGTTGTCACTGCCCAGAAGGGTCAGCCAGGAAAGCCTGCAGGAAGCTGCCTCAAGACCGCCTTCTACCATGGTCTGTTGTTTACTCCTTATCATGTGGACCAGCTCTTTTTTTTTCATGCCTTTCTCTTGGAAACATTCATTCCCAGAACAACAATTTATAGCAGAGGCATAGGAAAAAACATAAACATAGTGTCATTCGATTTTTTTTTTTTTAACCTCAGTGATTTTTTCAGAGAACAAGAACCTTAAAGAAGAGTTACTGGAAAAGATTACAAATTTATATTCAAATGTGACTCAAGTTCAATACAGTATGCCCCTTCAATGGGAGAAACAAAGGATCTCTATCTTAAAACATTGGCAATAGCACCCTCTGAGTTCCATTGACAGCAGAGGAAAAGGCTAAGGGGCCAGAGGAAAGCTTCCCCCACTCAATTCAGGCTGCAGATTAATTATATTTCTTTTACGCTCATAGTTAATAATCAGGTAAGATCAGGGACCTGAATTTCTATTACAGAATAAACTTCAGATCCAACTGTAGGACAAGCTACAAATTCTTACATAGAGTCAATGAGATTTGCTCTCCTAATTTAGTTGCATAAAATTCTCAAATTTTCCCACCCAAGTGCCAATAATGTCAGGGATAGAACAGAGAAGATAAGCAAAAAAAAAAAAAAAAAAAGAAAAAGAAAATGCTTTTTAATTCCTGTTTTTTTTTTTCTTTAAAGATCCATGTTTATTTGTGTATCATTGGTTTCAATTTCAACTTTTAGTACAAATCAACAATAAAAACTGACTTCAGAAAAATGTATCACATTTACTTTGTGACTCTATATAACCCTTGATACCTGTTTACATGCTTCTGCACTAAACTTCTTAGAGTTGTAGAAAGAACCTATTCTTTTCTAGATAACCTTCATCTAATCAGTGAGTACTGATTATTTCTCTGATGCACTCCTCAAAACTAAACTTCTTAGCATGTCAAGTGCTTGTCATAAGAATTAAAAAATGATTTCCAAAATCCAACTGGAATTGATTGTATTAAGATCAGTTACACTCTATACTGGGATCAAAATTGGGAACAGACATTTGCTGACATGTCTTCCTCTCAATGCTACTTTTTGTCCTTCTAAATAGAAAATATTTCACCAGATTTAGAAAACCTGCTGTTATCTACGTCACTACCTTCCTTGAACAGAACATACTGGAATTTGTTTCTTGATGGCTTTCATTGTCAATTACATGGGGGAAGATGTGAAGTAGATGCCATGAGAAAGTATGTATAGAACAGCCCAAACAAATCCTGACATCCTGATCAAACCACTCCCCCAGTTCTCTGTTTTCCAAACAGGACTGGAAAACCAGCAGGTGCTCAATATGAAGCTTTCTACCTTCATGCTCAGTTTCCCTCTTATTTCCTTCTGAAAACCAGTGTAAAAAGAATGGGAAAAGCTTCCCATAGAAATGCTATACTTTTTTAAATGAAGCCAGGGACAAACAACTACATATTATGTGATTCCATTTATATGAAAGGTTCAGAGAAGGCAAATTTATGGAAACAAAGCACATCAGAAGTTACCAAGGGCCAAGGGATTAACTGAAACAGACACAAGGGAAATTTGAGAGGTGATTGACATGTTCTAAAATGTGAATGTAGTAATATTTGGACAACTCTATACATTTAACTAAAGTCATTGCACTGTAGGCTTACGTTGGGTGAATTTTGTGGTATGGAAACTATACCTTAGTAAAGTTGCATAAGAAAAAACAAAATCCATAAGACTCCAGACTTTGGAGAGAAAGAATATTTTAATTAGGCCTTTAATGATTGAAATATTATGAGAAATATCTGGCTAATTAAAAATATTAAAAAATAACACATTGTTTAAAATAACTGAAAGTGATGTCAGAACGTGCATAAAGCACTCTAGGAAGTGGTGGTTTATATCTATTTTTAAATTTTCTTTTTTGTTAATTTATATGGAGCATTTGCCTAAGACAAATAGAACTGGGCTTTATTAGTTTGTCATCTTGATATATCTCCCATTTAGAAAGAAGGTTGAACTAGCATCTGTAAAAGGATGAAATAAACAAGTAAATAAAAGGGACAAGTTTGATTGTTTCCTTTTCTTTCTCTGTTTTTGTTCTTACAAGGAAAGAACCAAAACACGATGAGCTAACAGTGAGAATTATGTGTGTGCTAGATGCATTTTTCTCCTACTCTATGCACTGGAAGACTACATTGCCCATCTTCCTTTGCATTTAAGATGGAATCATCCCTGGGAAACAAATACAGGCAAAAGTGATGCACGTTACCTCCAGGAAAGACAAAGAAACCTATTGTACAACCAGTATGGATGCAACAGTGAAGATCTCCAAGGTGATGGACTCACTTCATGGAAAGACCCCAAATCCTTGAATCACTTATTTAAAGAGAGCTTGTGTGGGTGAAATGTCCAGTGGGCATTAGATGTTGCCTGAACAAGAAATAAACCCTTCCTTTGTTTGAGTCATTGAAATTTTGGGATTGTTTGTTATAGCAGTTAGTTATTAATTAGCCTAACTAATATCACTCAAAGTGTATTTCTTCCATTCTTCTTTCATCATCTATGCCTTTTCTTCCCCTCATTCCTATCTTTCCTATTTATATTCTTTCTCCCAGTCCTCCTCAACTCTAGTTAATGTTCTTTCTGGGGCAGAGGGAGAAAGGTGTAATTTTCAGCCTGTAACATCTTCAAACCCTTCTTCAAGAGTTGAGATATTTGAATGGGCAAGGATAAAAATGGTAGCCTGCAATTCCTCCTCCAGTGGAGCCAGAATGTGTCTAAGGCTTTGGTTAAAATATTATATCATTATCATGACCAAGGTTTTACCCAGCCCTCTTACTCCCCCACCACAGTAATAAATGCCAGAAAAGAAATGTCACAGTTGGCAGCCATCTCTGGGATATGAAATTTGCTTTTGTTATTTGTAGCTTTTGATAGTGGAGAAGTGCATGCTGGATGCTCTAAACATTTTCTTTTTCATCCCAAGATTATTTCCCAAAGATAACACATTACCATTTCAGTTCATTTTCAAGTTATTTCATGACCTACATGCCCTTCCCTCCTTTTCTGCATGTAGAGCAAATGCAAGGAAAGAAGGGAGGACCTGGCCCAATTCAGAAACCATATCCCAACCACACTCAGCCCCGTGCCATCATCCCAATCCTCTGTCTTTTGCCCCACCTCCCCCCAACCCCACTGTCAAAAAAATTTAAAAATCCAAACAAAAAACCGCTCATAAAACAGTAAACAAAATAAAGTCAGTTTTTCTTTTCTTTTTTAAGAACAAAATGAAACTTGAGGGAAAACTTACTGGAGTTACAGTTTATCCTGATACAGTCTAGATGGGGAAAAATAAATGAAAGATGAAATTGCATCCTTCAAGGTAACAGCTGCAGACATCCAAAAACAATCAGTCCACCCTTCCGGGGACAGACACACGCAAGAAATGTGGCCATTTTATATATATACAGTATGCACAATTTTAAGGGTGGGTGTATATGTACAGTATATTATTTAGTAAAGTTGGATACATATATATATACACACACACACATATATATATATATATATACACATATGTATAGAGATATATACTGGTATACATATATATCCACAGTAGACACCAAAAATAGTTCTCATTTTTTTTCCAAAAAACCTATTCATTTGATAAAATATTTCAAGCCTGGATTTTAAAATGTTAATTTTATTAAACTTAGAAAATTAGGCAAAAAATTCCCTACTAAATGCAGATTATAGTCTATTTCCCTCAACAATTTATATTCTTAAAATTATCTTTAAAAAGTAGCAGTAACACGATTTTTAAATTAGTCTTCTAATGATGTCACCAGTCTGACACATTGTATCATTAAAAAAAAAAAATCTGTCAAAGTTTAACCCTTTTCTCTTTTTCTGAAAACAAACTCCCTCCACCCTCTGCTTAGGATGGGCCCCAAATATCACAGAAATTTACATAGGCAGACTTGCCATCACCCTTAGAGGTAAGGAAAGGGTTAACACCACCTGGTCATTTCCTGTCATAAAATGGCCACTTGCAAACAGCTAACCGCACAAACACCCATCCCAGATTTTAGAGAGTGGGTCATTTGGTATGGGGTAAAAGGAGTCACAGTATCACAATTGATTGGCTTCTTGGTTTCTATTGGTTCAAAGGCTCCTGGACCAACCCACTCACCAAGCCCATCCCTGTCTTCCTGCCTGAATGCCCAGACTGAATTAAGTGTCCATAGCATTCAGGGAGAAGGCAGGACAGGCACGTGCAGAGGAGGTCTGGGACACCTTTGACATCCTGCCTATTTCACTCTGTGATTCTATATTTTGAGGAGAGAAAGTTCTTTGGTTTTGGTCTTATTTTTCAAGTTGACAAGAGAGGGAAGAAAAGTCTAAACGTCTGGTACTGATAACTAGACAAGATGATCTGTGCCAGAGATTAGAGTAGTTATCACTCTACTAATCTCCATTTGAGAGTCACAGGCACACACCAAAACAATTCCCAAGTACAGTCAGTGGGTGTCAATAGTGGACTGGGCAGAAAGGTTAGAGACAAGTCTCAGTTAAGCTAAGGTTGTTTTATAATAGTGGAAATTCCAATACAAATTAGTATAAAGTTAAATATTAAAAGGCAGAGGTCAAATGATAAGGAAAAGGAAAAATGGTGGAGGGAAAATATAGTTACAAACTGTGCTGTGCTTCAGCTTAAAGTTGGCGCAATAGATTTTAGAGGACTTGAGAATAATACCACCATTTGAATTCCCCTAGGTGAAATATTTTAGGCCAAGAAATGTAAAAGGAAGTAGTGGAAAGTAACAAGGACAGAGTGCAACTATGCGAAATCCAGATAGGAGCAATTTATAACACCCAATCGTTCTGAGGAAGGAAGCAGGAAGTTTATTTGTTCCCCAGAAGATCATCTCTTGAGAAAAATCTAGGTGTGGTTTCGTGCGGTTAGGTTTGTCATGTGTCGTCAACCGCAACAGAAAAGTGGGAGCAAACAGCCCTGGAGCAACCGGTACGATCACCAGACAGAGGAGGCCATGACCCTGGGAGGACTGGGATGGAAGGCAAGCAGGGAGGAAGGGGTGGGAGTTTCAACAATTAGTTGCATCTACCATCTCCCAAAGTAGAGAAACCACCCTTCCTGATATATCAGAGAGGGAGGGGAACAGGGCATGCTTAGGAGAGAGAGAGAGACAAGGGTGGGTCTAAAGCCACAAACCAAAGGACTGCAAACAAAAGGGATGGTTTCCTTCTTTGGTTTCTGTGCAGCTGAGGAATTTACTGTTAGGACAAGAATCTGGTCTAGGTAGAGGTGTTGGTTTGGGCTCATCTTTCTGGGTCATCCAAATGGATTCAAAAGATGAACGGTATCTCTAAATCAATTGGAAGACTTGGGGCTTTCAGGATAGCAGACAATTTGTTTATTTTAAGTTCAGACATGAAGAACCATTTTGTTACTTTTTCTGCAGAATCAGTAGCTTGAAGGGAAAAATCTATCCTGGTATCTTCTTCACCATCTCTCAGAGGGTAGTCTGTTGGTGAGTGAATATACAGCTAATGAAAAATAAGTCAGGGGAATTGATATAGGAAGCCATTTCATTTAGCTGTATCTTTGGTAGTAGCCAGAATTCTCCTTTTGCTGAATGAAGTCTGCCTGAGTCTCAGCATGATAATTGTGGTGTTTGTTTATGTCTTCCTTTGTATGTGTGCTATTTGTTTTGTTTACTTAACTTTGCTTGTTTTATTTTGGTAAATGAGAAGAAATGATTATTTTCCATATTGGTAGCCTTTGGGTTGAACATGGAAACAACGGATATTTCTAAAAGTTGTGTGTTTTCAATAATGCATAAACAGTAGTCAGCAAGACTAGAGAGAGAATATGAGAGAATTCAAATGCAATTAGCAAAGTGCATAACACCGCCGCAGAGTCTCCTGGTGCTCTGCTGTGGATCCTGAATACTTTGTCCCCCTCCACTGACTTGTACTTTTCTGTAGCTCAATTCAAAGTGAGCACTAACGAAGAAAGAGATTCCCTTACACACGTTACAACGGTATCCATCGTGAGAGCATGAGAAGTCATAAAGACTGCCACATCATTAATTCACAGGTTGACCTCTGATGTAACAGATAACCCAGGATGATCTAACAGTTTAGAGACGTGACTTCTGGGCTCAGCTCTGCCACCAACTTTTTATAGGAGCTTTGAAAAGTCATTTATCTCTCTTTGCTTCACATCTATAAAAGTAAGCATTAAAAATACTTCCTTGACTTATCTCGCAAAATTATTTTTAGATTAAAATAACACAAGATCTTTTAAACCTTTAAATGTACTATAATAAAAAAAATACTGTTACTACTCAAGGAGCAAAATACTGTTAATCAAATGCCAACCGTACAACTTTTAAACAAGGCACTTGGAAAACTCTAGTGTCCTTGACATTATATCAGAGAAATATGTACTAGGCTTCTTTCTATTAGGAGCTTACATGTGTGAACAATTTGATATAAGTTGTGATATCATTTCTGTGTGTACTATTAAAAAAAGATACAACTTAAATGCAGTAAGAAGCAGGGAATGGTGAGCACACCTATAATTTCAGCACTCTGGAAGCTGAGGCAGAAGAAATGCAAATTCAAGACTAGCCTGGACTATATTGCAAGTTCCAGGCCAACTTGGCCTATATTGCAAGACCCTGTATTTTAAAAAGCACAGTAAGAGAACAGATTTGGGGAGAGTGCATGTGAATTCAAATTCCGCTTAAAGAAAGAAAATATTTATAAAGGGGTATGTTTGGCGGGCGGGGCGAGGGGAGACCTTCAGAAAAGAGCATAAATACGAAGACTCCCTATACATACATGCACACAAGCTTTAAGTTCAGGTTCTCAAGTCAGGTTTGAAAGAAAGTTTAACAAATTCAAACCAGTAATTGTGATGAATCATACCCATCAGGGAAAAAAAAGAAACAGCTGGCTTTTGGAGGAACACAGAGCTCTCTCTGGAGCCCTAACTTTCTTTTGCCCAAGATGTTTCAACTTAGTAGGAGTTAGAAAAAAAAAAAGCCAAAGGCAAAGCAGTCTTTATGAAAAGTGCATCTCCCAGATTTGGTTCACAGTTTAAAATAGAAAAATTGTGCTTCTAGGAATACACACGGGATCTATGACTAATTCAACTCAGGATGTGGGGTGTGTGTGTGTGTGTGTGTGTGTGTGTGTGTGTGTAAGAGAGAGAATCTTTTCATCTTTTTTTCTTTGCTGCACATCCCCTTTTGAACCTCCTTCTGCCCTCAGTTTTTTTCATTCTAAGATGTGAGACCTGTTACAGTTGACTTTCTAATCTTTATAGAACAATGTGGAATAAGGAAAAACAAACTGTCTGTTGAAAGACACAGTGTGCACTGCCCAAGATCCCAGGGGGCTGAATCATCCTCACATGTACACTCTTACTTTGAAGTAAGTGGAGATGAGATAAAAATTGTCTTTGCTTCCTTTTTTCTGTGAGCTAGAAAGGGGCCTGCACTTTGTTTTTGCTTCACACTTTGGGTTTTAGTTTTTCCTACTTATGTATTTTGCTTTTTTGGAGAAGTAAGCAATTAGCTACTGGTTGTTGGTTTTAGGTAACATAAATTTATGTTGGTTTATTAAAGGCAAGGAGGATGTAGGGCAGGAAGGGGGAGGGACAGGGGTATGCCAGTCCCTGTAGGCTGCTCAGTACTCTCTGTTCTCAAGGCTGTTTGCTATGCGGGCCGCAGGCTTTGGGCCTTTGAAGGGTTGAATACCATCTTTTGATTTACCATGGTAGATGGTGAGGAGGATTAGAAACGCAAGAACACATACGCAAACACAAAGATCCAGCAAAAGAGAAAAACAAAACCTAAAATAACCATAATATACAAACAAAGAAAATCAAGAGTCACACTGACAACAGAAATCAAATGAGGTTGGACAAGTAAAAGGACATAATATTGTCAAAGCTGAAAATTAGAAGGACAGAAAAAATATAACTAAATAAGCCACTGCTCAAAACAGTCCTCTGTATCCCTAGAGATTTTAGAATGACAGTGCAGGTATTTTGCAAGTGGAACCAGTTGACCTGACAGCACATAAGACTTATACAGATTCAGGAGTCCATCTTCTCCCCCCATCCCCCCAGGCCATCTTGGGTTTTATAGGGTCTGGAACCTGGTATATTTGTCCATCACATTGTCTCTAGGCTTCTAACAAGCACTCCACTAAAATCTTTATAAGGAGCCCTGTGTCTAAACATATTCTACATACCCAAATAAATCCATTAGCTTAGATAGTTTGGACTCAGCTATATCATTAATCTTGTCAGCACTCAGAATTGACTTTCTGTTGAATGGAAGAGCAGAAATAGAAGTTATTTGTTTATTTGTTTGTTTCCAAAAACCAAGGGGCCCCATTCTCTGTGGAAGATCAATTAGAATTCAGTAAAGAGGGTCAATAGCAGAAAACAACTTGAGGCCACAAAGAGGACAATTTCAAAAGTATCCATTACAGGTAACTGCAGAGAAAGAACAAATCTTGCTCTAGAAAAGCTACAAATTTAAAATGAACTTAATTTTTCAAATCTAGTGAAAAATGGATATGCATTATATGCAGAGAACAGAGCAATTGGTGAGTAACAGTGTCAGGCAACAACCTTTACATAAAGGACTGCCAGGAGTTTGGGTAAGAATACAGAAAGGAAAATGGGGATTCATATCAGGAGACACATTTTCTTTCACATGTCAGAGACTGGAAAGGTAGGCAATTGTCTTTCAAATGGGACAATGGGAAAAATCTGACATGTCATCCCCATAAGAGAAAACTTAAGGAGCTCTCAGAGAAATCAGGGCCACCAGAATCCCCCATCTGAATAGTTACTGTAGAGCTAGAAAAACACAGGTCTCTTCCTGCTCATGTAGCTTAGTTTTCTGCAATCCCACAGCCTGTTGTGCTCTATTTCTTGCCCTGTCTCTTCCCTCAGCTTTGACTGTTTTGAGTGGTGACCAAGGAGTTGGAGTTAATGAGAATATGATTGATCAAAAGATGGACCAAAGTAGCGTGTTTTACACAAAGCTAAACAATTCCAAAAAACCAAGAAAGGAAACTTAGAACACAAATAATCTAGTAAAGAAACCACCACTGTCAGAAACCAGAAATTGACATCAAAACCTCATGCAGAAACAAGGAGAAGGTGTTTGTTGCTGTTGGGTTTTATCCTCACTCTATGAAACAAGAGGTGAGCAGCTAACTTTTAAGAAACAAACAAAGAATTCAATCAAACCAATGGAAATCAGAAAAAAAAAAAAAAGGGAAGACAAGCCCAAACAGAGAGGCAGAGGGTCCTTTATACGATACCTAAGTTAACCATGAGTTTGACGCGTCCCCCGTCCAGTTCCAGACGCAGGGTGTCGGCAGAGTCTCTGGAGGTGGTAGCTACCAGCAGCCCGTAAGCTCGCTGGGACATGAAACGGAAGGACACGTCCTCTGCCTCGGTGTGCATGACCATGGGCATGACGATCTTCATGTACATGCTGCCATCATAGCTCAGGATGGACGCCTCTGCCAAAGAAGAGTGGAGGACATCATTAGGATGAAGGATGCTACAGTTTCAAATACTCCTTTGCTTCCACACCTTAGTCTGGAGTGTAGAAGGCAATGAATTTGTACCCAGGTGACTTGTGTTTGATAAACCTGAATTGTTGCTATCTTTTAACTGTGTGACATTAGGCACATTTGCAAAGGGCATATGATGGCACTGGTACCTGCCCTAGGATGCTTACAGACTTTTCAAGGATACTAATAAATAGTGGTGTGAGGGTATTTTGCAAAAATAAAAATGCTCCACCAATGCCAGTAATTATGATTCTATACATTGTAGATAAAACAAAAGTACAAAAAGCAAAACTTAGAATCCCTGTATTTTCATGAGTTGTAGGAGGAAGGAAGAAGTTTCCATCAGAGCAGACACTCAGAAATTTGCCAGCGTTTCCAGAGGGAGGAACAGGCAGCAACACCAGTCTGGAACCCATAGCCAGGCATTGTGATTGGTGTTCAACCCATTCAAAGGAGACTGAAAGAGCTGGAGGGGGAACAACAATGAACTAATAGCAGCTTCAGGAACGTATTTTACTTTTATTAGAATAGAATCTCTATAAAAAAAGAAAAGAAATTCACTTGTATTAATTCATCCTTCAGTTCAAATACTTGGTTTAAGAGACTCCCCTATCTCCCACCCCTATGTTATCTCAGTACCATAATGTGGGTCTACTGTTCCCACCTAAAAACAAGAAAACCCTCCCTCTTAGAGAGAGATGATATAAACCCAAAGTGACACAATCAAGCTTTTCCAGGGACTGTTTTGCAACACCATGCGGCTCAAAATGTCAGTCTGTTCAATCATCCATTGGCAAATATTTTCAGAGAACATAGGAAGAGAATGTCATTCAGAAACCTATGAAGCCAGCCTGTCACAACCTCAGTATCTGGCACTGATTAGGTTCTTTATTAAATATTTGCCATTGTCAAATACATGTTCTGTGGAGAATACATACGTGAAACTGACAAAGTCCCTGTTCTAAGGGGACACACAGAATGTACAAATAACTATACTAGAGTAGAAGAACAGTTAAATGACATGGGGGAGATATAAATACAGCCAATGACCTTCAAAGGAAAGGGACTGTGTGATGCAGGTGAGTAAAACAGGTGGAATAAAGGCTGAGCAGGTCTTGGTAGAGGGATGAGATGTGTAATGAAAGGTGAGATGGTATCAGATTTCACTGGTAGATTAGATAGCATGTCTATAGACATTAAAGAAAGGATTGCTCAGACAATAAGCTATTCAATTTAACAGGGACATAAGACATATATTCCGGAAGTATAATTAACTCTGCATTTACAGGGTCTGTATCCACAAATTCAACAAACCATGGATTGAAAATATTTACAAAATAGCCTGGCATGGTGATTCACGCCTATAATCCCAGATACGTGGAAGGTGTAGGCTCAAGTCCAGCCCCAGACAGAGCATGGGACCATTCCCGAAAAAGACTGGGGCATGGCTAAAGTGGAAGAGCACTTACCTAGCAAGCACAAGACATGAACTCAAACCCCAGTACCACAAAAAATTGGAAAAATGCATTTGTACTGAACACATACAAACTTCTTTCTTGTTATTTCCTAAAAATAGTATAACAAGTATTTGCATAGAATTACAGCACATTGGGTATTATAAACAATCTAGAGATTATTTAAAGTGTGTGGGAGGATTGTGTGTAAATCATATGCAAATGCTACATCATTTTATGTAAGGAACTTGAGCATCTATGGATTTTGGTGTTCACAGGGCTCCTGGAACCAATCCTCATGGATACCAAGGGGAGACTTGTCTATAACTATAGTTACATATGGTGGTTTAAGATTGAAATGAGATTAATAGATTGGTAGATTGTGGGACGTGAGTGATTGAGATTTGGAGAAACCTCTGATGCATTTGCCTGTGTTGTCCATCCCAGTCACTTCTCTAGGTGATGAAGCATAAGAGCAAAGAAAAGAGACAAAAACTCCTGCCTTAATGCACAGATGAAGTGGAAAAAAAGAGAAAGCCAAGAGGCAGGCAGACCATGTAGAAGGTTCTCCAGATAGTCACACCCCCGTTTACTTGCACAACAGACAAAAGTCCATTGAAAGTAATATAAGGGCACTCATTCACATTCCTGGAGAAGTCATATACCTCAGATAAAGCCTGTACCATCCCAATAGCTGTACATTATAATTTGCAAACTCCAAAGGGATCACAGACAGAAGTGTGACAGTTGCAGATATTATCCCAATAAAAGGCATATGATGATCTGTTCTTGGATAGGAAACATAAATTTAACACGTGATCTAGATGTGAAAAAAACTGTTTTATCTTCTGGGAGGGCAGAATCAAAATAAGATCAAAATAATTAAAATTTATTGAGCACTTACTATCTTCTCAATGCTTTCTAGGATTTTAAATGTATTCAGAAGTCACTTAATCCTCAATAAGACCATGAGAAAGACAATATTATTATGTTTTACATATAGTTGGTCACGCAGGTAATAAGTGGCAGAGCTGTTAGGATTCCAACAAGTTCTCCAGGCTGTGTGTCTAATCACCTGCCAAACTGTCAGAGAGCTGTGCCAGGAACACACCCATGGTTCTAAGCACCAGAATATATCTAAAATGCTTCATGGTAGAGTGTGGTATTCTTGATTGTTTGTGTACATAAGCACACATATGCCATTATTTACACTCATATTATTTACAAATACATGAAATTACGTAATAAACGTAATACATATATTTCTAAATAATATATTGCTTCACATAAATATGTACAATGCTTTTTGTGTAATGACCAACACCATTAATCATTACTACATGAAACTGGTTGTTTTCATGTATCCAAATTTAAATACATTCCAAATGTATTAATGGCTGTTCTTGTTCTCTGAATGCGTGTAGTGTCAGAATAAATAAATAAATATATACACATTTATATATATATATATCATTTTTATGTCGAAATTGGTAGTACCAGAGAGTAAGTATCAGGTGAGAATATAAACAGCTGATGGCTTGAAATAAAGTACATATCTTAATGTCTCTGTGCATCTGTGAGTTATATTATTATCCCAATATTTTTAAGGGAAGGGTGATGCAGCAGAAAATTTAATATAGGAATCAGATGAAACAAACTCTATTTCATGGATTCATATTAATTTGCTTAATTCAAACACAAGACTGGACAGTCTTTATGGGCAGAAATGAATCTAATAAAGAAAAGTTATTCAATCCATAAATCCATGAGATTATTGAGAGACCACATCATGGGATACTCACACAATGATACTTAAGGTATTTGCCTGTTTTTTCCACAGTTATCCTTTACTACCTCCTTGTGTCTTCAGTGAATATTTTCTAATATCCTACTTTAATTCCTTTTATGATATTTAACTATACGATTGGAGTTAACATTCATATCACTTGCTATGGGACTTCAATATACAACTTAATTTACCAGAATTGATTTCATATTTATAGTAACTTAATTCTTTAAGTGTTGGGGATCAAATCCACCTTACCATGAAACTACATCCCTGCCCAAAATATAAAAATTTTACTCTTGTATGGTTCTCTTGCCTTACTCCTTTTTTGGCTATGATTCATATCATAGACAAAATTAGACAAAATTTATATACAAAGTTACAGACAAAACCACATTGTTATAATGATTGCCTTACAAAAACTTATGCCTTTTTTAGAAGCTTAGACAAGAAAGGAGCACTCAAATAAGTTTAGAGTTTTTTTTAAATAACATTATTTATTATCTCTGACTCTCTTCATTTCTTCCTGTGGATTCAAGTTACCATCTGGTATTATTTCCTTTCTTTCAATATAACTTCATTCACTTAGATTTTATTGTCAAATGTATGACAATTCTATATGTTATAAGTACAATGATGCAATTTTATAGATTTTATGCATTCTCTTTTTAAAACGGTTAAGAAAGGAAAGAAAAAGAAATGTGTAATTATACTGTCTTTTATCATTACCTTTATTACCTACATAATTACCTTTACTGGCACTATTTGGAGTTTTTTTACCACATAAATTCAAATTAATGTCTGCTGTCACTTTCTTTCAGCCTGAAGAAATTCTCTTAGTAGCTCTTGTAAGGTAAATATGCTAGCAATGAATTCTCTGTTTTTTGTTTATTTGAGAATGTCTGTTTCACCTTCATTTTTGAAAGACAGCCTTGCTGGGTATAGGCTTCTTAGATGATAGTTACATTTCTTTCAACACTTTGTATACCATCCCACTGCCTTTGACCTCCATTGTTCCTGAAGAGATGTTGACTGTCAATCTCATTTATAGTGCCCTGAAGGTGATGAGTAATTTTTTCCTTTGCTGCTTTCAAATTTTCTCCTTACTTTGGTTTTGAAATTCTTATTACAATGTAAAAAAGCTGAAGATAAAGAGAAAATTCTCTTTGCATTTTTCCTGCTTAGAATTCATTGAGCTTTTTGGATGTGAAGATGAATGTTTTTCATCAAATTTGGGAAGTCTGCAGGCATACTTTGAGCATTTCTTCTGTCCCTTTCTCTCCTTTCTTGGTCTTCCCATTATACATATGTTGGTACATTTAAAGGTGTCCCACTTTATCTGAAGCTGTATTTATCTGTATTAATTTTTCTTTCTTCTATCCACAGTATATACTCTCCATTGATATAGCTTCAAATTGACTCTTTTTTCTGCCAACTCGAATCTACCATTTATCCCATGTAGTAAATTTTTCATTTAGGTTACTGTATTTAATAACTACAAAATTTCTTTTTGGAGACAGGTATTATATAAAATTTTATCTTGTATTAATATTCTCTATTGAAGTCATAATTATCTCATTTTCCTTTCATTCTTTAAATACAGCTTCCCTCAGTTCTTTGAACATACATAATAGTCACATTGTAGTCTCTGCCAGTTAAATCTAATATATAGATCCCTTAAAATGCAATTTCTGTATATATATTGC